TTCCCTCTCTCACTGTCTCTCTCTGTCAAATAAAAAAAAAAAAATCTATTAAAAAAAAGCTACAGTGAGACACAGCTTCTCACTCATGGCTAAAATCAGTAAGACATATAGTATAAAGTGTTAGCAAGGAGAAAACTGGAGCCCTCTCCCGTTGCTGGTGGGAATATATGGTGATGGAGCCACTGTGGAAAACCGTCTGGCAGTTCCTCACAAAGTGAAACGGAGTAACCGTGTGACCCAGCGATCCCACACACAGGTGTCCACCCAAGAGAAACAAAAACACGTGCACGCAAAAAACTTGAACACAAATGTTCATGGCAGCATTATTCATATCAGCCCCAAGGCGGAAACCATCCAAATGCCCATCGACTGATGAATGTATCAGCAGGTGCTGTGCACCCAGACAATGGAAGGTGATTTGACCAGAAGGAAACACAAAGGACTGACACGCGATACACGGTGGCTGGACCTTGAAAACATGCTAAGTGAAAGCAGCCAGTCACAAAGGAGCACCTGTTGTCCGCCTTCGTCTTTGTGAAATCCATGAACAGGCAAATCCGTGGAGACAGACGGTAGATGGGTGGTTGCCAGGGGTTGGGGAGAGATGTGGATTACTGCCAGGGGGCGCAGGGTTCTTTTAGGGGTGATGAGAATGGTCTAAACTTTATCATGCTGATGCTTGCACAACTGTGAACGTACATTTGTGTATTTTATCCAGATTGCATACTTTTCATGGGTAAATTGCATGGTCTGTGAGTTATGTTCTCAGGAAAGTACTATATTTAAAAAGGCATGTAAAAGAAAACCACAGTTTAAGCTTTCTTTTCTTCCTTCCTTCCTTCCTTCCTTCCTTCCTTCCTTCCTTCCTTCCTTCCTTCTTTGTAGGCTTTCCAGGAGGGAAAAAGAAAAAGATCTAGGGGCGCCTGGGTGGCTCAGTTGGTTAAGCGACTGCCTTCGGCTCAGGTCATGATCCTGGAGTCCCGGGATCGAGTCCCGCATCGGGCTCCCTGCTCAGCAGGGAGTCTGCTTCTCCCTCTGACCCTCCCCCCCTCATGCTCTCTATCATTCTCTCTCAAATAAATAAATAAAATCTTTATAAAAAAAAAAGAAAAAGATCTAGTACTGGGCTGGATTAGGGCATGAAGGGGAAGGGGCCCTAGTCTCCTAGCAGCTTGTAAAAATGACAAGTGGCCTTCAGACATGAAGGGGGGTGGGGTGTCTCCTCAGAGGCCAAGGGGAACCGTGACTCAGCTATGCTTTTGGGAGAAACCACGCGTTCCTCGTGCCCACAGTAAACTGGCTTCCTGTTTCCTAACGCCGAACACATTTTGAAACTTAGTAAAATAGCCGCCTTCAAGGCCTGTGTTCCAACTGCATGTGATTCAAGGCTGCTGGGAAGGGAGCCCTGCCCCCAAACGACTCCCTTTGGGAATCTGTTTCCTAGATCCATTCCCGTTGTCCGGAGTCTCCCAGGAGAACACAAACATCTCCAGAAAAGTTAGTTCTTATGTCTTTGAGTCACTTTCTCACACTATGGATCCCAAAGTTCACAAACAGAAAGGGAGGCCTAAATGCTGCTGAGGGATGGGAGAGGTGCCTTGTCTTGTGGCTGCGGTGGTTTCGAGCATGGCGGGGGCGGGGAGGCGGGCAGCCCAAGAGCCTGGAATCGGATTCTTCGCTCCTGTTGCTGGCTGTGTGGCCTTGGGCCAGTTACGGAACTTTTCTGTGTCTCACCTTCACCTGTAAAATGGGGACGGTACTCCCGCCCTCATAGGACTGAGGTGAAGAATGAATGAGTTCATGCATGAAAAACACTTAGAGCCACACCTACCTTTGAGTGAGCGCTACACACAGGCTCGCTCTCATCATCATTAACAGCGATTGCACAAGGGAAGTTACTTATCCCATGATGCTAGGTGTATTGTTGGTGAAGGCACCCCCCAAAATTATGTCTTCATTTTCTAAAACACTTGGCTCATTTTCCCCACTCCAGGCCAAGAGTCCTTTTTCTCGGCAGAAAAAACCTTGATACACATTGGTCAGATTCTGGTCTTTTCTCTTTATGTATGAGGAACACAAAGGCCAGTAAGGCCACGGTCCCACAGCCAACAGGGGGACAGAAAGCAGGGCCCCTTCCATCAGCCCACACAGCCCCAGCTCTCTGCAGGCTTCCCGGGCCCCTCCAATTTCCTCGGCTCCGAAATCCCCCCTGGGCTTCACTCATGAATCTGCAGATTCTTACAAGCAGCCACCATGGGAACCATTTTGTCTTCATGTATCCCAGGAAGTCCAGCACGTGTCCTGGCTTTTGTTCAAAGGGGCAGGTCTGGCCTCAGGCAGCCAGAATGGGAAAACCTACATCCCACCTGCCACTGGAGGACAGGCTTCTTTCCTTGGAGAATCTAGGGGGCAGGTAGCTAGAATCAGCCCAGACCTCCTGCATGTGACCATTTTAATCATGTCCTCTCAAAATGTATTGCTTCTTTTCGGGGAGCAGCACGCGGGGGCATTTCTGTTCTCCTGCAGCCTCACCCGGGGGAGCAGTTGGCCAGGGTGTTCCTCTTTGAAGAGAGGGCACAGACCCCATGAAGGTCTCTCTTGACCCCCAAGCCCCTAAGTTCTTGTCACCTCACGGCCCCTTTTCTATAAAATAGAGGGGTTAACACTTGAGTGGTCTCACACTTTCTTAGTTGTCGTGAGAGTCAAACAGGATCCACATGAGGGTGCTCCGTAACCTCAAAAACTCTAATTCTCACAGGACGAGAACGCCTTTAAGGAGTAGGGACTAGGGGTGCTGCTAAACATCCTACAGTACACGGGCCAGTCCCCCATTGCAAAGAATCATCTGGCCCCAAATGTCATTCACGTCCTGCTCTGAAGGATGAGCAAAAGTAATAACATTTATGGGGGACCCACTAGGGGCCAGGTCATTTACATGCATCATCTCATTTAACTGGTCCAGCAGCCCTATGAGGTGGTATGGTTATTATTCCCATTTTACAGATGAGAAAGCTGAGGCACAGAACAGTTAAACAGCTGTTTAATAATCTGCACAAATGGGGTGCCTGGGTGGCTCAGTTGTTGGGCGTCTCCCTTCGGCTCAGGTCATGGTCCCAGGGTCCTGGGATCGAGCCCCGCATCGGGCTCCCTGCTCCGTGGGAGGCCTGCTTCTCCCTCTCCCACTTCCCCTGCTTGTGTTCCCTCTCTCACTGTCTCTCTCTGTCAAATAAATAAATAAAATCTTAAAAATAATAATAATAATCTGCACAAATATGTACCTCTGCCTCCACAAATATAAGCAAATGTGGTTGCGATGCATAAAATGCAAATTCCTTACAAGTGTTCATAATAAAGTCGTATGATCTGTCTTTATGCATTTTCCTCAATCAAGAGACTCTCAAAGCACAGCTGAAATTCTATGAGTGAGGGGAGTGGGGTAGGAGGGAAGAGGTCTCGAAAACAGGGGAGCCTCTCTCATCTAAAAGGGTGGGAATCTCCGCTCCAGACGTGAATTAGATTCGAGTCTTGCACAGTCTTTTCTGCGTCCACCTTCTTTCCACGCCGGCCTAGCCATGTGACTTGCAGAAAAAACGAATGAAAATGTTCGGAAGCCCAAATCAAAACAAATGAGCCCCGACCAATCTCTAAAATCGAAATGTCCATAAATCTGTCCTTTCATCCCTGTCAAAGTGAACTCTGAGGTTCCCTCCAAAGGTGCTCCCTTCCCCTGCACACAGCTCCCAAGAATGCCCCCTAGGAATGCCCCCTGCCCCGACCCCAGCAATGCTGAGCAGGCCTTGACGGCAGGCCGCTCCATGCTCCTTCCTTCCCCGGAAGGCCCCCTTACCCCTTCCTCCTTGGTCAGATTCTGTTGCTCCATCTTTGGTCTGTACGATAGGACGGCTGCCGAATGCCCTTCAGCCAGGATAACAAATGCACTGAAGGGAGAGAGAAGACATTTGGGGTGTACTTTGGCCACGCCAAGTAACAGCCAATAGCGTTTTTATAGCCAGCCCCAGATGGACTAACCCTTTCAGAAGTCCAGAGGTGTGTCTCCTCGCACGTCTCTTAGATTCAAAGTCTGCGGTTTAGCTCAGCGAGCGGGTGCCCCCCGCCACCCCAGGCCTGCAGGCACGGCGCCCTCCTGATTGGGACAGTCTGTGGTGTCTGCTCACCACGAGAGCCTCCACTAGGCAGGCTCGTGATGAGTGGCTGCAAGAGTTATTTCTGTCACAAACACACGAAAAGACACTGGCCCCACATCACACCAGGTAATGCAAGGCCAAGAGTTAGGGTCACCAGAGGTTTCTCAGAAGTGGTCCCTGCCAGGAAGCCTGCAGCCAATCTCTCGGAGAGTCAACTTTTCCTCAAATAACCATGCCACACGTGCTCGGAGAGGTTTGGCTATTTTTTCCTTTGTGAGGAACTGAGTGGCTGAAGGATGCGACTTTACGTGTAACCATCACTACTGCGAAGGCAGTAAATAGTTCAGATGCCTTTATCTACAGGGCAGGGAAAGTGAGTCACGGCTGCTGCTGGCCTGGGTCCACCACGTATGAACAGGCCACAGCCCGCCTCCTGCGCTCAGCACGTGTCCAGCCGCCACGGGGCACATCAGGTCAAGGGGCCAAAATCCAGAGCGAAGTCCCACAAGGCCCACAGGCTTTCATCTTTATCTGTTTTACTTGCTGCGGCACAAATCCAATTAATTCAGCCATTCCTCTCCCTCCTTCCCAAACATTTTTTTTTAAAGATTTTATTTATTTGACACACAGAGAGAGAGAGAGAGCACAAGCAGGGGGAGCAGCGGAGGGAGAAGCAGGCTCTCCGCTGAGCAGGGAGCCCGATGCGGGGCTCGATCCCAGGACCCTGGGACCATGACCTGAGCCGAAGGCAGACGCTTAACGACTGAGCCACCCAGGCACCCCCCCTTTCCCAAATAAACAGTTAACTGGGAGCCCACCATGTGCTGGGCGCCATTCCTATATTAGTAGCAAGCTTGGAAATTGTGACCGGGAGACTGTGAGGAGGGTGACGAAGAGCCTCTGTGTGTGTGTGTTGGGGGCCCCCATGCCCCCCACACAAGGGAGGATTGGCCATTTTTCCCCACCAGCTCATTCCCTGTCCTTTCCTTCTGTGTGATGCCCAATGAAGGTTTGGCAAGACCAGAGGTTCCCAATTATTTCAAAGAGTTGTGAAGAATTCTCCAAAGAAAATGTACTTTAGTTGGGGTGGGGGGTAGGGGGTAAAGGGAAGGACACAGATTGTGCAAACAAAAAGAACGGGCCTCAGTTGGCAGTCCTGAGTCATGCTCAGGCCCACCCGCCCCGGGCCTCCTGGGTGCTTGGGGAGGTGCTGGGGGTGGGGGGGACAGGGGGACTCCCTGCCCAGCGTCTGACCTCCCCAGCCCGAGCGAGGCCCTACCTGCCTCCTGTGGGACCCAGGCATTGCAGGCATGGCCATGTGTCACCAGTGCCCCAGCGTGGCCAGCCAAGCGGGTGCAGACCCAGCGTGGGCCCAGTGGCTCCAGTCCCTTGGCTGGCCGCCTGCTGCTGGGAGCACCCAGGAACGGGCCCAAGGGCTCGGGGCTGCACTCCCTGCAGGTGCTGTGTGTCCCTGCTCGGTCCCTCCCAGCCTGGGTACCCGGCCCAGCCGCCTGGGGTCTCCGGTGGCCATTGGGCCCATGGAGGGGCCGTTGGGCTCAGGGGATCTGGGCGTTCAGATGGGGGAATGGCCCGCCAGTTGGAGGCACACCCCTGGCAGGCTGATTTGGGGTGTGCGTCCTGCACCCCACCCCTGTAAGTGGTATCTGAGTGGGGTGGGGGTCTCAGACTCCGGCCGCTGGGCCTTGCCCTCCCCGCCCAGCCCCAGTCTGGACTAGGAGAAGAACCTGCCATCGGAAGCCTATTTTCGCCTTGTAGTTTAAAATGACACGAACGAACAGCACTGATCGACCCAAGGACAGGCTGAGGTGTGTCCCAGGATCATGTACAAGTATTTCCAAGAAATGCATGTGTTTTGAAACTACCTCTACCGAGAGCTGAGAAATCCCTTTTAAAGGGAAAGTGGACAGTTACAGAGCCATAGTTGGTCCTGGCAGGGCACTCCTGATGCTCTTCCCACCTTCCATACAGTTTGGGTCATCACAGGGAAATTTTATTAGGATTTTATCATTGAGAGAGAGAAGGACCCCAGGAGGACCATGTATTAGGTCCTCTGTAACCTCTCACCATGCAGGAAGTGCTGGCCAGGGACCCTGGCATGAGGATTTGGGTCCCAGATCTCAAGAGCCAAAGTGTTATTACTAACATAAAATGTAAATATGTTAGCGCACAGTTTTAGACAACTTATCAGAATCTGACAACAGTGATTATTCTGGGATGTGAGATCACAGGTGATTTTGACCCTAGCATATATTTTATATTTACATTTTATTTTATTTATTTTATTTTTTTAAAAAAGATTTATTTTAGAGAGAGAGAGTGCAAGTGGGAGGAGGGGCCAAGGGAGAGAGAATCTCAAGCAGACTCCCCACTGAGTACAGAGCCTGATGTGGGGCTCGATCTCAAGAGCCTGAGATCATGACCTGAGCTGAAATCAAGAGGCAGATGCTGAACTGACTGAGCCACCCGGGCGCCCTTACATTTATATTTACTGAGCCTACTGCTGTACAAGAGGTGGAACGCAACAGGGTTCAAAAATAAAAACTGCCTGGGAGCCTGGGTGGCTCAGTTGGTTGGGCAACTGCCTTTGGCTCAGGTCATGATCCTGGAGTCCTGGGATCGAGTCCCGCATCAGGCTCCCTGCTCAGCAGGGAGTCTGCTTCTCCCTCTGACTCCCGCCACCCCCCTCGTGCTTTCTCTCTATCTCATTCTCTCTCTCAAATAAATAAAATCTTTAAAAAAATAAAAAATAAAAAATAAATAAAAACTGCCTTCTGCCTCAGACTCTAGTTGGGGACACAAGTTTAGTCAAAAAAAAGCATTGATGAATTTGTAACTATAAAAGAGCTCTAAAGATGAGGGTGGAAGGCTGGTCAGGGAAAGCGATCCTAAAAATGTGAGCTTGAGCCGAGACAGGAAGGAAGGAGTTTGAAAAGAGCTTACCCAGGCAAAGGGGGTGAGTGGGGAGGGGGTGGTGGAGAGAGCTTCCAGACAGGAACAGTATGTGCCAAGGCCCGTGGTCGGAGCATGATGCCATCAAGAAAGTGCAAGGTCAGTGTGTCTGAGGAGCACAAAGCAGAAAGGAAGAGCAGAGGGGGTAGGCAGGGCCAGACTAGATTTAGTACCTGTAGACCATGCCCGCGAAGAAGCTCGATTTTTGTCCTAGGAGCAGAGAGAAGGTGTTAACAGTTTTGAGAGCGATCAGATTTGTGTTTTTCCAAGTTTACGGTGGCTACCTCGAGGAGAACTGTGGAGGGAACAAGAGATTCATGGATTTGGGGAAGAGGAGAAGGAGCAGTTCCTTTGCTGTACGACCCATGGAGGGTGGTGGTGGCCTGGTGGAGGGTGGCGGAAGAGATTAGTCAATTCACCCAAGAAATAATTTAGGCTGTGAAACTGACAAAACTTGGTGACTGACAGGACGAGGGGAGGGCTAATAAGAGGACTTCTGTATTATGGTTGTAATAAAGAATCAAAACGATCTTTCTGAAAATGAAGCTTTTCAGAATTACAAGTTTATATAGGAAAATTTAACAAAAATGTAAAATGTTGAATTAGCACCAGAAGGCAGGCTGGCAAACCCCAGGGCTGTTTTGAGACCAGACAAAGATATCAGGACTTTGGGTCACTTGCTGGTCTCACCTCTGCTAGGAATGTTCTAGAATCTTAAAGTTTTGCCACGGGCCTCTTTTGAACAGACGGCTGCTACAGCTCTCTCAACCCATCCCCAAATCGCTTTGCTCCGTCCCTCTTCAAGAGTAATAGAATTTGGGGAATGACCTCTGGCTGCCCCAGATAAAGACTGTGTTTCCTTCTGGCCCTTGCAGTTGGACCGGACGGATGACAAAGCTCTGTATAATGCATAGGTGTCATGACGTGGTGGCCTCTGGGAACCTTGCTCACTTTTCTGTCCCTTTCCCTCTCTTGCTGCCTGGAATGCAGATGCCACCCGCTTGGACCCCAGGACTGAGGCCACAAAGGACAAAGCCACAAGCTGGAAGGAGCTCGGGTCCCTTACCCGGTGGGGTGCTATCCCAGCCCCAGACCGCCCACCTGGCCTTCACATGTAAGAAAAATACATGCAAGAAAACGGGGAGGGACTCTAACCCATTTAGAAGCTGTGAAGACATTTTCATTCATTATATTTGTTTTAATTGACAACAGCCAAAATCAGATTTTAAATTGAAGAAACAGCTCTCCCCTGGAAGTGAGCGGCCTCAGGACCTTCGTCGTAAGGGAGAAACTGAACCCCTGTAATGCTGGGCTCAAATGTCGGTGGAGATTTACCCAGGCTGCTGTGTTTTTGTTGTTGTTGTTTTAATATTTTATTTATTTGACAGAGAGAGAGAGAGAGCACAAGCAGGGGGGGCGGCAGGCAGAGGGAGAAGCAGGCTCCCCGCTGAGCAAGGAGCCCGACGCGGGGCTCTGATCCCGGGATCCTGAGATCATGACCTGAGCCTGAAGGCAGATGCTTAACCAACTGAGCCACCCATGCACCCAGGCTGCTGTTTTCATGAGGGCTGGATTTGGTTTTGTGTCCAGCTTAAAAAATTGCATGGGATTTGAGTGGGGCTGCCCTAACCCTTTTTTCCCCCGGAAGCCCTGCTATTTTTGTGTGCCACACAGTAGAACATGGGGTTCCCTAGGAACACGTGAGTGGTGCTATAGCAGAAATGCCTGCATGTGCCTCAGGGGGCACAGACTGAGGCTGCCTACCCAGGTGTCCTGTGCGCGCGGGATTGCTCAATTAGACGGAGGGGCAGGAAGGGAATAGGCCATCTCCATTCCAGGTTTAGATAAAGAAGGAGTAATGAACAGGTCCTAGGGTGCATCCAGCTACCCAGGTGTGCCTTGCACACTGGCTTTGCAGAGGCCATGCTCCTGGTGCAGTGAGG